TGAATATTTGTGGCCCACTAAAATTAACTGAGTTCAAACCTACTCCACAATACAGTCTTATTAAGAGGTTGGGCTTTGAGGAAGCGATGAAGTCAGCAGAGCATGAATGACTTAATATCCACACAAAAGAAGACCAGGAAAGGTGGGTCATTCATCCCTTTTGCCATCTGGGGATGGAGCAAGATGGCGCCATCTATGAGGGAGATCTAAATCTGCCAGCACTTCTGACTTTGGGTTTCTCCATCTCCACAACTGTAGGCCATCCACTTCTATCACTTCTACCCACTGTGAAGTACTTTGCTGCAGAGCCTAAGTGGACTAAGACAGGCAAGAAAGTTAAGGTAGGTTAGGCAAAAGTAATGTTAAGACAGTTTTGAGCAAAACTAAACCTTCAAGTGAGTGGGAGATGATCACCTGGAATCACAAAGCAGCTGTGGTGGTGGGAACATGTCTAGGGGCATGGGGAGGTAGAGACGTGGGTGGGGGGTGGGGGGGTGGTGATGGGAGATGTCATTCTGTAAATATGTTTCTCATACTGGTTAATGAATAAAGAAAGCACTGTTGGCCAATAGGAAAGCAAGATAGGCGGAACTAGAAGACAAGAAGGATTCAAGGAAGTACTAAGGAGGGGTCAACATGGAGAGTCTGGAGAGAGCAGGATGTGAGCCCGACTCTCCGGTAACATGAGACCACGTGGAAGTACTTAGATTAATAGAAATGGGTTAATACTTAAGACAGAGCTAGACGATAAGAAACAAGTAACTGGCCAACAGCACTATATCAAATGCAGCATGACTGTGTGTTATTTGGGGCTGGCGTGGTGGTGGGACCAGACCAGGGAAAAACCTACTCAGGGGAGAACTCAGGGGATAGCCCAGGTATCAAGGGCTAGGAGAGATGAAGAGTCAGCAAAGTGAACGGAAAAGCAGCAATCCTGAGTGACAGCCATTATGGAAACAGCATTGTTTCTCTCCATTCATTAGCGCGAAGTGTTCTATTTTCTCAGTATGGATTTTAGACTAAGTCTAAAGAAGCTATATTTAAGGCTACCGATTTAAAAAATAAAATAAAAGACTATAGAAAAAGGCAAGGAACAATTATAAAGCCATTATGGGCTTTAAGAGTGAAGCTTAACTGAAGACTGCAGTGGTCTCCAGGGAAAGCTTTTTCATGGCTAGGTTAACATTCTACAGAAACACTGACTTTGTAACCAGAAGGGACTGCTTCTGGGAAAAGTCTGTCCCCTGCATACCTCTTCCTCTCACATTATGCTTTCCATAAGTAGACGTTTAAAAATATATATTTACAAAAAAGGCTAAAACCAGTTCATTGCAGCTTGATACAAAATGGTTTTCATCGATGCCAAAAGGTCTCTTCTTCGATAGCAATTTTCATCACTGAGATAATGGCGAAAGTAAGGGCCAAAGAAAAGACAATATTACAATCACGATGGTATTGTTGCTTACATAAAAACAGTCACTCGCTGTAGGAACTTTCTCCCTGAAAACAAGGGGTGAACCAAGAGCAGAAAACCATCTTCCAACCTCCAAGACCCATGTGACCAAGTGAGAACGATCCCTTGTATGGACTCCACTACCATCACTGGGAATATAACAACTTTCTGTAATGTTCATTTAAACTTGCAGTTTGGGCTAGTTTGTGGTCTTTAATACATTTGTTTACTCTCTTATGTTCTTTAAAAAAGAAAACCGTTCAAGTCCTCATGAATTGAACTGGACAACTGAAGACTGCTAACTACCTCATTTTCATAAAGTCTTCACAGGACATCAAAAACAATTCTCTATTTTAGATCCTTTGGAAGAGAATCAAGAGCAAATCCTAGCATTCTAGGTGTAAACCTGAACGAATGCAGGGTAGGTCTCACCCGAGGCAGGGGGGTCAGCATCTGGAAACTGTATGCTTACCTGTCACAGCCTTCATCGAGGTCTTGACAGTCACACAAACAAGCAGCCACGTGGTTCTTTTCTCCATTTCGATCTATATACTCACAGCAGCACAGGGGCTCCAACTCAGGTTCTTCGGTTTTCTTTTTCTTTACTGGCTTCATACTGCCCTTCAGTGCTTACACCTGTCACCATGAGGCATAAGAAGCTCTCAGAAGGTAAAGGTGGCAAGAACTCAACTCACATCCTGTAAACACATCCTCGCTTGTGATTAACGCCAACGCCTGAGCAATAAAAAAAAAAAAAAAATGAAAAGAAAGGGGGGAGGGGTCCTGTTTCCATCAGGTTTTTCTGGCTCCGCATGGCCTGAAAGGGGGCTCCTTGACTCCTGGAGCTCCTAGCATCTTCGCCTCCCCTTCCCAGCAAGTCTAACAGCATCTGGGTGCCAGCCGTTCCCATGGCGACAGCGGACCACGCGGCCCGGGACAGCTGGGCTAGGGCGGCCCAGTTTACCTGCGGGTGCCAGCTGGGTAGAGCCGGGCGGTCCCCACCCCGAGGCTGCGCGCGGTGGAACTCACCCTGGTAGGTGGAAGCAGCGCCGGGCCGTCGCTGCAACCATCCAACCTCCCCGGGCTGCCAGGAGTCCCCGGCAGCCCCGAGGTCGCCAGCCCAGTACGAGCTAGCCGCTCCGAGGGCGTGGGCGGGCCTGGAGAATGACCTTGGCTGAGAAGTTACCTGGCCTCCGACGGAGGCGGAGACCGGGAGGAGGACCCGCTCCTCTGGGCGCGGCTGCGTCCGGGACCCAGCAAGGCAGGCTCGGGCGAGCAGGGCGGAGTCGCCCACCTGTGCGCACCGCCGGTGTGCGCGCGCCTGCCTTGCGATCCAGTCGCCCCCGGCCGCCGCTCCGCAGGTCGCCGCGCGCTTCCGGGTGCCCCGCCCCCGGCGCCGGGATCCCGCCGCCCGCACGTGCGCCGCCTGCCCACGAGGCCCCTCCCACGCTGCGCTCCGGGCCACCCCGCACCTGCGCCGGGCCCTCGGGGCGATGGCTTGGTAAGGGACCCGACCCAGACACTCGCGCGCTGCGGGAGTTCGCCGGCCACCAGCCGTCCTCCTGCGCCCGCAACAGGCGTTGGGTTCCTTCTGCACCACCGTGTTCTGGGGTGCCACCCCACAAGTCGCCCACCTTCCCATTAGGCCAGCTGCTGTTCCCAAGTCCCCGCTTATCCAACTTGTTCAAGCTCTTGAGTCTTGGGGGTTGGGTCTGCTTTCCAGCCAGGCCTCTGGTACTTTTGCTTGCATTTGCAGTGAAATTGCCCAGAGAGCCCTCTCTGGGTTTTACAGCTGCATAAGTGTGTGAATGAGAACTGTGGGCCTACCTACAGGTTTGCACTGGCCCAGGCTTTCTAGATTTGGTTTTGGTTTTTAGGCAGAAACAAGAAAAATTACAACTTAAGGTATTTTGAGTTTTATTGAAGTCAGACTACATAACAGATTCAGACTATTAATTCTGCATACAAATTTAGTCTTTTATTTACTTTGCAACGTTGGTAACTCTGAGGTATATTATAAAGTAGTTTGAGAGAAACCACAAAAACATTCACTTTGACAGTTAACATTTTTCTGAGTTTAACAATTTCAAGTTTCTAATCCAGTCATTCTTGCTTACAGCCAAAAACTTCCTATGTCCTTAACGAAAGCAAACAAAACAAACGGAGTTATTACTCTGCACCCCGCCCCTCTCCAGGTAGATTAGGTGGGAGTCATCCAGAGAAAACCCCTTCCCTATAGCCAGTATTTTCATTCCTTACAGGCATTTCAAAAATGTTTTTAGCAATGCCATTTGGCTTTGGTGACACTAAAAAGTAAACACCTCACTAAAGGAAATGGTTGTTCAAACGATAGGAAGATATGCCAAGCAGTGGTGGCTCACAAGTTTAATTCCAGCAGTCAGGGAGACAGAGGCAGGCAGATCTTTGAGTTCGAGGCCAGCCTGGTGTACACAGCAAGTTCCAGGACAGCCAGAGCTACACAGAGAAACCCTGTCATTCATATATATATATGAACTATATATATATATAGTTCACAGGTGCATGTTCCAAAGAAAGACCTGTAAAGAACAAAACAATATACATGCCCTGAACCTGTCCTAAATCCTAGGGGGTCAGAGCTAATTTCAAGTCAGGTTACAAAGTCCTTCTTTTCACAAACCACTTGTGTTGAGGCAAATGACTGAGTAGCTTTCCTGAAAGCCCAACCTTGCACCTCTTCCGTCAATGTGCATGTCCCCAGTCTTTATTGTGGAGCTCAGGAACCCACAGTCTTTATTGTGCAGCCCAGCTTATAATTTTCCAACAGCACAAGCTACACACCTGTGTAAGGAATGAAGCTATCTACAGCAGCTACTGAGAATGCTAGATTAGCTTTAATCAGATGGGTTACTTCCGCCATAGGCACTGCTAAGCTGAACCCAAGCACAGTTCATGGATTCACCTGATCCTTCATGAAATGCCCAGATTTTATCATAATCTTCTGGCTTCTGAAACTAAAAATATTTCATTCTGAGCATTGTTATCCTACATACTTCCTTCTCCTAAATTCCCTGTCTTTTTGATATATGAAGGATAAATCTTTAGTATATATAAGATCTCTCTCTGTGTGTGTGTGTGTGTATTCCTTCATTAAGATACAATACAACCAATGAATCTTTCTAACGACACTGAGATTCGAAGGGTTTGACCACTGCCCTCGCATGCCAATTCAATGAAGAGACTGTAGTGTTTAAAGATACAAACCTGGAATCTATGTTCCTAAAAAATGACCCTTTACAGTGAGAAATGATGGAGGGGTTTCTTCTTTAGCTTTTTAGGCTCTTAAACGCAGTGGTGAACACAGCCTGCTGGGCACATAGTCCCTGTGTGCTAACAGATAAATTTAAAAGGTCAAGTTACAAGCCTCAGCACAGAAAAAAAGGCCACCATGTCCAGGTGTCTCCCTTCGCTTTTTGTGTCACAGAATTTCAATGCCAAAATATATTTCATGGTTCACTGGAGAAATTCACAGTTTAGAAATCTCTATACAAAGTGAAAAGACAGAGTCTTAAGGCTGTTGGAGAGTAATCACCAAGTAAATGTAATTTAAATAAGGTTTTCCTAGTAGAAGCTCAGTAATAAAAATATCAGAAATGTTCCTATGACGGTGACAGTCTTCATCCTTGGTTTCCTTCCAGATGTTGTCTTCTAGGTCCAGGTGTCTCTTTGATTTCTGCATCCCAGCACTAGCTCTCCACAGCCACCCCAGTCCTGTTCTTACTTAGTAAATCAAAGGTTTTCTGAAGCATAATGAGTGAGCTCTTCAGCTGCAAACAAATTGATCAAAAATCAGACTTTATTTGACTCCAAAAGGTATTTTCTTTGTTTGTTTTTTGGTTTTTTTTTTTTTAATGTTGATGCTCAAATACAACATTGACCACCGAATACCTGGTTCTCCTGTTACATGCTGCATGACTTCTAGAGCATGCTCACCAGGTGCTAAGGAGTTGCACTTTTCCAAGAAGCCTGTCTAATTATCCAAAGGGAAAGGCTGTTTGCTTAGATGTTCCTCAAGACTCAGTGGTCTTTTCAATCTTCCCTGAATACCGCCAGCCCGGCTAAGCCATCCAGCATCCTCTTCACAGTACTAAAACTTCTCTATACCCTCCATCCCTGTAGAACCTTCCCTGAAGACCCTGCCTCTCAACTGCTACTTCACTTCTATCCTACTTAATTTTGTATTTTCAAAAACAGATTTGAAAACCTGTCAGACAATTGACTCCTCTGGTAAAATTGGAAGCAATGTGAGAATATACCTTATTCTTTACCATATTCGTTCACCCATTCATTCAACAAACCTGGTGTATGTTTCATGCTGGGCACTATACTAAACACGGAGTACATGATGCTGAGCTTGAACGTTCCCAGCACTAGCCACAAAGGGCAAGGAGTTCAAGGACAGGACGATTTATAGGTATGGTTATAGAAGGGGGGCAGTTTCTCTTGTCTATAAGGCATGGTCATTCACTGAGAAGAAAATATGAGAGCAAACTGAGACTGATAAAGTGGATGGAGAGAGTTACTAAGCAACTGTAGAGAAGATACAGCTAAAGACTGCCCAGCTGGCGACCCACCCCTTGACACTCCTGAGGAACAGACTGACCTACCTGTTCCAACATCACTATGGAATCTTGGAGCACTCCTTTTAAATGGTGGGCCTGATCTTTGTTCTTTTGAATATGTTCTGTTCTTGAGAACCTATCAGAGGCTAAACTGGGAGAAAAGAACATCATGAAAATAGCTGCCGACCTTATTGTTTACAGAAATTAATGTATTTATGTGCCCCATGGATTGGAAACAAAACACAAAATCAAACCCCACCACCACCATCTCTTGGGGGGATGGGAAGAGACAAAAAAACAAAGCATGTATGACTAAAGATATGGAGATCAGAATTTCTAAAATTAAACTTTCTATGACAAAGAAACAGGTGTATATCAGACAGGGCTGGGGTGGGGAACTTACTTAAAAGATTTCTCTTCTTGGAAGTGAAGCCGGTAGAAGGACTGAGCGGCATGTTCTATCTTTGACAACTTCAGAAACAACGTCACATTCAGCAGAACTAGCAACAGCAGACTATACAGAGCAAATGACAGCTGGTTAACCAGCACGGACCTGCACTGCAGGCTGCAGAGGTACCCAGCACCCAGATGGTGGAAGCAGGAGGATCTATTGTGATTCAAGACCATGGGCAGCCTGTGGTGCAAAGCCAGACCCTCCCCAGCACTCCCCTCCACCACCCAAAATGAAGGAAGTAAAATAGTAGCTATGCAAAAGCTTCCAACTGTATATGATCTAGACTATTTTCTCGTGACTTAAATAAATTATTCCCATTTCATCATATAAAATAATTACCTTCAAGTATTACATGGATGCCAAAGAAAATGATGAGAAATAACTAGTGTGATAGAAAAGGCCTTCAACAACCTCAACTCACAGGCTGCCTCTGACCCCTGTCCTCTCTTCTCTGCTGGAATCCCAGCAAATGCCAGGCAGCTACCAGTTTAGAAATATACCGGTAAGTTTTCAGGGTCTATTTTTGGGTTATGTTGGCTTTAGCAATTACATGCCCATCATACTGAATTTCAAAAATGAAATGAAGATCAATATGAATGTGATTTTAGGAATATCACAATGTTATCTTTTATTCTCAAGGGAAGCAAAACATGTGTGTGTGTGTGTGTGTGTGTATGTATTTTTTAATCTTGAACAAAGGAAGTACCAGACAAATTCAAACATATTAATGATGGTAAATGTAAAATTTTACATGTAAACGCAATGTTTTGTTTTTAACAGCAGACTTTCAAATTAATACATACCTCATTATACATGTATACAAACTGGTAAGTAGTAGCATATGTCTTTACTTATTTGTTTTGTTAAAAGATTTATGTGCCTCAAATTAGACCTATTGGGACTGAGGGTAGAGTGCTCACTTAGCACAAACAGAAAAGGTATATAAATACATATCTTGTGTGAAAAAGCTAAAAAAATCAAATCTGTGAAATTATCATGGCACTGAAGCGATACACATATACACACACATATGTATATATTCCTATATTTCAATATATAATACTTGTCTTTCAAAAATAAACTGGTTTACAGGCAGTGGTGTCGCATGCCTCTAATCCCAGCACCCAGGAGTGGTGGTGTATGCAGGCTGTCCCAGCAGGCTGAGGCAGGAGGACCATGAGATAGTTCAAAGCTAGCCTAGACTTTGTAGCAAGCCCCTATCTCAAAAAACAACAAACAATAATAAGGATAGCAAGTATTTTCTGCTTGTTCTGAAATCTGTCGTAAGGAAAGACAGCTAATAGCTTTATCACAAACAGTGATATCCCAGTCTATCACTGAATAAGAACCATTCATATAATCAAGGGGCTTCCTCAAGGTTCACACACAGCCATGTAGAATTAGAGCCCTTAGGTGTAACTTGCAAGATAGGTTCCTGTAGTGTACCCTAAGCTTCAGACTAATTACCTAGTATTTTTCACAATGTGATGCTTAGACATTCACATCAGAATAATCTAGAGTATGTATTTTAAAATTCATCACTAGCTGCTCTTCCAGAGGACCCAGGTTTGATGCCCAGCACCCACATGGCTGCTCACAACTGTCTGTAACTCCAGTCCCAGAGGCTCCAACACCCTCTTCTGGCCTTCATAGTCACCAGGCATGTATGTGGTGCACAGAAAGACATTCAGATAAAACACCCATACACATGAAAATAAATTTAAGAATTTTTAATGATTTAAAAATTCCTGATCACTATTCAAAGTCTACTGCATCGACCGTTGAGACTGGAGCTGAAAACTCTGCATTTTAGCAAACTCCTAAATAATTCTTAGTCACATAAACATGAGAACCACTGATCTATTTAAGCAAAGTAGAATAATTTTACTGGAATTTTACCAATATGTATTTTCTTTAAATTTATGAAACTTCTTATAAAAAAAAAAACCCAGAGTCCACAGAAATAAGTCAAATTGTTTCTTTAAAATGCTTAGTATATATTTTATATTCCCTCAAATTTTACAATTCTGAAAAATCACACATCAAAAGCTATCCCACTAAAACCTGTAAGACTGCTTTTATAGGTCAACAATAGTCAATAGTGACCACTTCTATCTGGTAAAACACAAGTGCAGGAGCTGTTGGGATGGCTGAGTGGTTAAAGGACACTGGCTGTTCTTCTGAGCAGCAGGGTTTGCTTCCCAGCACCCACATAGCAGCTCACAACCTCCTGCAACTCCAGTTCTGAGGGATCCATGCCCCTTCTGTCCCCCATGTCACTGCACACACAGGGAAAGTACTAATACACATAAGAATAAATCCTTTTCTAAAGAAAAAGCAAAAAGGCTTTTCAATTCTTTCAGGTTCTATTTAAAAACAAATGAAGATATAAACCAAATTAGTACAACAGATACTCACAAAACACTCATCACCACAATCAGAGCAGTGTCACAGCTGTCCACAGTCTTTCTCTTTCCTGCAGGTAGAAAGGGAGAGTGAGGACTGTGGACACTGTTGAAGGTTAATAATCATCTGAAATTAACCTGAAAAAAATATGTCATTTGTAAAGACAAAATGATTTAGGGTGAAGTCTCTGTGCTTTTATTTTATTATTATTTTTTTTAACTCATGATACCTTGGGTAAAATGTGAAACAAACCTAAAAGGAGATAACCCGTGGCAATTCTTCAGATTGGAGATGTGTTACAAATTAACTTACTATGAAATTAAATAATTCAATACATAGCACATGATATACTGCTAAGTACTATTTCTGCTAAGAACAGTTGAGTTGATCTAATATATAGTATCTCTCTCCTTAAAAATACAATGACCAAACACTGTGACCTAAACCTTTACATTTCAAAATTAAGAAGCCATTGATCTTAATCAGTGGCTCAACACAGTTACACAAAACTAAAAGTCTAATGGGAGCTTGATAATGTGAGGGGATAGGAAGAGTTGACAACTATGGGGGGGGGGGGAGGGAGGTGACAGCAATAGCAAGGAGTCTGCAAAACTGAAAGTCAAATTCCATCTCTGCAGCTTGCCTAGGCTAGTCCCCAACAGTAACTCGGAGTTAAACATCAGGCATCTGTATGTGTTAATCAGGAAATAAACAAGTGAGCTGCCCAGAAGCTTGGGTTTAGTGACTCATATAGAGACAGTAGCCAGCTGGACAGCTGAAGGGGCAGCTCTGAACAGCCCCAACCAACTGCTGCTATGAGCGATATGGTGCCGGACCAGCAGACTTGAGATTTTATTTAAATATTCTATCCCTTTTTTTTTTTCCTTTTTCCTTTTGAGGCAGCATCTCAGTATGTAATTCTGTCTGCCCTGGAACTCATGAGGTAGACCAGCTGGCCTCAAACTCACGGAGATCTGCCTGCCTGTGTGAGAGTGCTAGGACTAAAGGCACATACCAATATAACCAACTTAAAACTTTTAAATGCTCTGTGGACCAAATAAAATACACTGCTGGCGATATGCCTGCCATATCCCAGATGCTCCTTTTAGGGTTCTATAGTAGCTGTCATTAAGAAACTCAGAGTATAATAAATATCATCAAAAAGGAGAGAAGGCAGACTTCCTTAAATGACATTCTTCATCAGCAAGAGGCACTGCATGCATTCTAAGGCTAAAACCTTTTGTCTGTTGAACAGGGAAAGCTACCTGTAATATCCCCTTTGGCCTCGAAGCCCACATCCATAGAAGAACGCTGAGAGGGCAGCTTGGGCACTGTTTCTGCCATTCGGTTCAAGGTTCGCCTCCTCCGTCGTAGGTTACTGAGTTTTCCGGGGTCTTCAATGGATTGATTTAACACAGACTCTTCCATTAATAAATCTGATTCTAGGATGAAAAATTTAAAACAACAGGATAAGAAGGAAACCTTCTCAACCATAAGACCCAAGTAGTGGGTGTGTGTGTGCCCACTTGTGTACAAGTTTGTTTGAGCCTTGGCAATCTTTTCTAACCATATCTTAGGTTTTACAGACTCGATTCAAACTTTATTCTTAATTAAAAGCTTTAGAGACTACAATGACCCTATAATGGAGCTTCATTATTCTAGGAAGAATGCGTATCAATAAATGATGGGCTCATCAGTGGAAACTTGCTATGTGCTATATTAAATATTAACGTAATGTCTTCAGTTATGGAAACAACAGCTCTACACACTTCCATGAGATCGTTAGAAAGAGTGCCAAGATAGGGTCTAGTGCTTCCTAACCCTAAAGCAAAGAGAAGCATGTAGAAGCTCTAAGGTTTGAACAGAAACACTCTGGCATGGGGAATCTTCAAACAACCTAAAAGTCCCATTTTTATAATTTATTTCAATCCTTTCCTGTCTCACTTTTTTTCATCAGAAGCTTGTTACCCATTGACCAAGCTAATGTTTAGGCTTCATTTTCTCATTTTCTCTGTTGCTGATGAGAAGTTTAATAATGAAACAGCCAAAGGGAAAAGAGTCAGAGAAAAATGGCCAGCAAAATAACATGCAGCCTAAGTCATTCAAGCTGATGAGCCACCAGATTTTCCTTCAGTAAAACTGCATTCACATGTGTGTGTTGTTCCCTCATTTATACGGTATGATATATCCCAGCACAACAGCTGCTTTGCTCTCATGATCAGCTACCAATACCCACCTCCACCAAACCCATTCATAAACACAGCACCATTGCCAAGTGGGTCTATATAAGCCCAGGAAAGCTGCAGCCAGGAAGGCAGGTGTGAGCTGGTGGCTCTACACATGTGAGGCAGGACAAGCAGATCTGTAACCTAGTTTTGTAATCCCTTGCTGTCAGCCTCCAGGCTCCTCGCAAAGACAAGCAGTGTATGATCTTGGACAAGTCACTTAACCATACTGTTTTGATTTCCCTCTGTAGTAAAATGGGAACAACCAATCAACGCTATACTTCACAGGGCTGTTACAAATATGAAATGTTAACACTATGATGTGCATTTTATTACGTAATGGCCATATAATAATCATTAAGTAAGTGTTGTTAGAGCAACAATAACTGAATTTTAAAATCCTGCAATTGACAGAGCAAGTGAGACACTGAAGCCACTTGAGTGAGAGCCATTCTTCCAGCATCATCACCTGGCCCCTCTACACGTCCTAATGAAGAACAGCCCATTGCCAGAAAATATAACCTTGGTTTAAAAAAAAAAATGCAACAAAACTTTACAGACCAAGCTGTTTGAAATAGTTCTCCAGTGAACTCCAGGAATTCTTCTCAATTAAAGACTTGATAATGCCCCATGGTTGTTTCCTGTACTTCAAGTCTGTGGAAACTCTAATAGGATGAGAAGGAAACAGTATTTCTTTAGAGACAAGACTTCAGCCAACAGAAGAGATCAGGCAATTTCAGGGGCATATAGCCATAGACTACTCTAGCTATCCCACTGCAGTGAAACTTAAGATTGTATTCCATGGAAAGCCAAAAGAATTAAACGTCATTACTGTTATAAAATGAAATTTCTTCTTCCTTAAAAACCATTGTGAACTGCTAATTACCTCATCAAATTATAATACTCTACCCCCACCTAAATTGCAATGAAGACTTCAATAAATGCTAAGAAATTAAGCTGGCGGTAGTGATTCACTCTTTTAATACCAGCACCCAGGAGGCAGAGGCAGGTGGATCTGTATGAATTCGAGACCAGCCCCCTCTATAGAGTGAGTTCCAGGATAGCCAGGGCTACACATTGAAACCCTGTCTTTGAAAAACAAAATGAAAAAAGAAAGGAAGGGAAGGAGAGAGGGAGGGAGGGGAGGAGTGAGAGAGAGAAATGAAATGAAGTTCTAAATGCTGCAGATCTCTAGTGATCACACACTAATTGAAAGTAACCCTGTTAATTAGTGCCAAAACCTATGATGGCCATCGTTTGCTTCCCACTTCTGCAGAGTCCCTTACTGCTCACCATGTGTTCCTTTGAAACTCCTGGCCCCTGTGGGCCTTAGACTAGGTCATGTGACTGGTTGTGACCAGTTCTCCAGCTTTTTCTTCCCATGGCAACTGCAGGACACTGTCATTTTTGACTGTGTACCCCCAGAATCCCAGAATTTCAAAACCTTTATCAGTTTCAGTCTTGAGTTAGGAGTCCCACCCTTCTCCTGACCATTGCTGTACACCTAATTTAGGCAAGACACTAAAGATTCAGGGCTAATGCTACAGAGCAAACTGCAGCCTGCTTTAAACCATGCACTTGCAATAGCTCACCTCAGCCTGCATCTCTGCTTTGCAGATCGGACAATACAGTATCTATTCAACGTATAGAAGTAGTCGTGGTAGGGAACATCGTGTGTCAGTACTTCTGAATCTACTAAATAAAAGTGTGCTTCCCGACTTTCTTTATACAGAGTCTGCCAAAATAAGATAAAAATGCTTACATGCATATTTTCAATATTTCTATGTTCTCAGCAATTTAGAACATATATATTGAAGTTCCTTCTCACAAATACAAAAGACATCAAAAAATCTTATGACAAGCTGGGACAGAATGAGAAATAAATTGCAGAATCTTTCTGTGTTTATTGGCTTTCTGTGTTTTAAGTTAAAAATTAAATTGACAATTCAAAAATCAATTGAATAATACAAGGGCCACAACTCCCAAATATATCAAAGCTTAATAAAACCAAATGTCATCAAAAAACAAAAACAAAAAACAAGGAAATGGAGCAACTAGACATTGCTTTCCCTAAACAGGACTTGGGAGAGCTGTCAGCTAGAACTTCCTCATTTTAACCACTCTTGAGGGAGGAAGAACTGGCTTCTGAGTTTACAGAAGATTCTCCTATGCCAAAACATCATCTCTTCCTGTATATGTGACAGTCTTAAAACGTGATGAAAGATAAGGAAGAGTCACATTTGACACTGATGGAGAAAACTCCAACAGCACACGACCTTCAGGTATTCGCTGTGGTTTGCAATGAACATTGTATCCCAACCCTGCTGCTCAGATTGGCCAAACACTCCACCCTGAGCCAGTGACTGTCTTGCTAATCATGGAGAAGAGTCTCAGCTTGTGTCTCATTTTTAAAACTCCTGTGCTTTCCCATATGTTACAGCAGCCATCTAGTTCTTTGGCTTTCTTCCTGGCATGATCCTATACATTAGGTTTTAGAGCGAACAAGGATATGGGAACTCCAGGAACTCTCATGAGCTCATCAGCTACCTTCAACCGTGCTAGCTAGCTGTTGCCCTATCCGCTTTTATCTGAGCCCATCTCTGCCTCTACCAACCTCCCTCCTCAGTGCTAGCTTAGTGTGCAAAGGCATCTGAGACAATACTTCAGTTTACATTGTTTAAAACTGAATATCTGTGGCCTGGTGGTAGTGACACACGCCTTTAATCCCAGCAATCAGGAGGCAGAGGCAGGTGGATCTCTGTGAGTTCAAGGCCAGCCTGGTCTATAGAGTAAGTTCTAGGACAGTCAGGGTGACAAAGAGAAAGCTTGTCTCATAAATAATTAATATAAATAAATATCCTGTCTTTAAAATATAACTGCAGGCTGGAGAACACAGCTCAGTGGTAGGGTGCAAGCCTGAGATTCCACCACCCAATGACATAAAAGTTCCTCAGGTGTCACAAATTCTCTCCAGCAGGTGGTCTATTTGGCCAGGCGTGGGAGGGTGTGCATTCTAGGCTGTGAAACCCCTTCTGACCTATGACAGTTTAACGTCCCTTGCCAGGTATTGGATGAAACTGTCTCACACATTGTTGCCTGTGACAGGCATCATCTCTTTGGCTACAGACATGACTCCTCCGGAACCCTGACAGAGTCACATACCTGCTTTTCTGTAGCAGCAGTGCATTTCCCCGTGAGTGGGTTACTGAGGACTATAGTATAAGTCATGGTTCTCAGCTGATCACCTCCAGACTCAACTGACCAGGGTGTAGATACCACATCTAATCAGAGCAAACACAAGACTTGAAGTTGAATCAAAGGTGTAGTTTGAGAATCATATAAACATTTACAAGCAGTCCTTTAGGTGTCCGTCAAAGTTTTACAACTCCATTATAAAAAGAAAACAACTCATGCCACAGTGTCCCCCATTCAGGACATGCTATAAATATAACATGTTAGGCATTCATTAAAAAAAGACGTACAAGTAATTTCAAAGTGCCTTTTCAGATTATTTAGTCATAATTCAGCCTACTCCAGGAAAGCACAAATAATGCACTGTTATTCAGAAACAGGATCAATAATTATCATTGAATCCTGTTATGGAAATCCCATACTATTAAAATAAAGCAACAATCAATCTATTTTCCCATGCATGCTACACTTGGAATTTTAGCATGCTACCAACAAGGCCTACTTAATTATTATTTGCCAGAACATCCTCTGATTAGCATCATACTGGAAGAGTCAGTCCTTGATACTGAAATAAAGTTCTGTACCAATAAAACATCAAGAATGAAATTCTAAGAAAATAGCAACAGACAAAAGGATACATTGTCACTTTTTATGAAGCTAATGAGAAAATGAAAAAGAGGAATTGCAAAATACTTTAAGAATCTTTGTTTTTGATAAACAATTTAAATTGGTAAAACTTCACACACATTAGGGTGGCTATTATATAACACTAGAAGTAATGCGTGTTGATCATTCTGTGGCAAAAGTAGTGTCTCTATGCATTGCTAGTAGGACTATAAAATGGTACAATTTTATAATACAGGATGGATGAGCCTCAAAGAAAATAAAGTTTCCCTTTGATGCAACAATCTGCTTCTAGACAAATAATATACAGTAAGCAGAAATCAAAGTGAAGACTTAAGTAGATATTTGCATATTAATGGCCAGGGCAGTGAGTAGCTAACAGTTATGAACAAGCCAAGTGTCATTAATAGATGAATGAATATGCAGAATATGGTATTATATATGCACACATGGAATATAATTCTGCCCTTAAAAGAGGTGGAATTCTGCTACATGTCTTCTCATGAATGAATGGATTTAAAGACATTATGTTATGTGTAACATTCTCAGAAAAGACAAATGTTATATATGTTCATTTTTATGAAGTAGCCTGATATAAATATAAATATAAAAGATGGAACGGTGGTCCCTCAGGAACTGGTGAGGGACAAATGGAGAGTTGTTCAGAGTTTCTGTTTGGGTTGATGAGGAAGGTCTAGAGCTGAACATGGTAATAGCCACACAATGATGAATGCAGGAAATGCCTCTGAACTGCAAATTTCATATCATGTGCATTTATTTCATTGCAACTTTAAAATCTGAGAAGCCAGATAAAGTAAATATGGATGTTATTTTACTAGTCATGTAGCTTCTCTGAAGGTTTGCATTTATCTAAATGAAAAATACTTTAAATTGACTTTTTAATTAGAAATGATGCTGTGCAACTGTAAATAGAAATTAAAGAGACTGCCAATTTAAAGGTTCCTTATTAAAATAAATTAGATCTATGGAGCTGGTGAGATGGCTCAGGAGATATCTCAGTTATTTTGATGCCAAGATAAAATAGCATGACCCAAAGACCCCAGTGATATACTTCCTCCAGCAAGAAGACTACACCTCTTAAAAATCCCATAGCCTCTGCAAATAGTGCCACCAACTGAGGACCTGATATTCAAATGCCAATGGGGGACATTTTCCATTCAAACCATTACAGCGCATAAAGGTGCTTGGCACCAACCCTGCTAACCCAAAGTTTGATTTTCTGAGCCTACATGGTAGAAGAAGAAAATCATCTCTAAGTTGTCCAATGAACTCCATACACACATACGTGCGCGCGCGCGCGCGCGCACACACACACACACACACACACACACAGTGAAAAAAAGAGAAGGAAAAGAAAGAAAGGCACTCTTTGATTACTAGGTAGCAGGTTCTAACAATAACACTATGGATTATAGTCATGAGGAAATTATCCTTTGGAGGAAAGCCTCGTGACTCATTCCAGGACTACCCTGTAATGTCCCTATAACTGTCCAGACTTTAAGCGGGAAGCCTTTGATTCCTAAAGCTATTTATGACACCATAGAGTGGATACAGTCAGTTGAAGCCAGATAGATACTAGATAACAAATGCAGTTTTGCTGCAAAAAGCAAACTTTACTTCATACCAACTTTAATGAACTGTGATGCTTCGTGAACATAAAAAGGGCAGTAAGGCATCAACAGCCACTGCTTAGCAAATACGGGATGAACCATACCTAACTCTTCCCAAGTATCAAGTCTTCCAGACACTTTTAGTGGAAAATAGAAAAATTATTCTTAAAGCCATGAAACTCAGGATAAAATCACAAAATTCCATTACAACAGAATCCCTTTGCTACCCTACTAGAAAAAGAACACTTATTTTTGGTCCTGGATTCCATATCACTCATCTTATCTACGGATATGTATGTATGTGTATTTGTGAAAGCCTCAAATAACCTAATGGTTAACAAAAATCTTTATGTTATAGAATTGACTCGCTGACCATGTCAAATGTCTACTGCTGTTGTGTTCTAATTTTATATGGTTGACTCCTAAAGTTAAAAAGAAATCTGGAACATTTGATATAAAATCATTTTTTAAATTACTATAAACGTGAGATATTTAACAAGTAGAACTTGAGTCACATGAGCAGTGAAATTCTTCTGTGAGTGTAATCAGCTCCATAAAACTAAATGATTTCGTTATAGGTACCATGGCCAAAAGGGCACAGCTCTGTTATTTTCACAAAGGAAACACACACGGGCACTACTGCTTCAACTAATATATAAAACTTCTTATCTGCATCCAAAAGCAGCCTCCCAGGCTTTACCCATTTACCCCTCCACAAGAGCAATGACGACACTGACTTCCATGTCTGTATAAAGAAATTACACAGCATGTGTGGTTTGTATCTGGCTTCTTTTGCTTAACACCGTGTCTGAGCTTTACAGTCATAAGTGGGAGTTCACTATTGTTTGTATTGGTATATGGAATTCTTTAGTTGAAACTTTAATATAATTTTACTCTATTACTGATGGGTGTTTGAGATCCTAAATGATGCTTCCATAATCCTTGCACGTGTCTGTCAGAGTGCACATACCCATTTCTGGTGAATGTGTACCTCAGAATGGAAGAACTGAGTTCAGGTAATAGCTATAATATTAATCCAGTTGTCACATATGGAACTCTTTCAAATAGGGTTCAACTCAACTGAATAGGTACATTTATAAATAACTGCAGTTTTTTTTTTTTTAAAAAAGGTATACATTTAACTTTAAGCAGCACATACTTAATTAAACAATTATATTGTTCACATGTGTGATGTTGGATAATGCTATTGAACACTGTAAAGATTTGTCACTCATATTGGTTTAATAAAACACTGATTGACCAGTAGCCAGGCAGGCAGTCAGTATAGATGGGGCAACCAGGCTAGAAGAATTCTGGGAAGAGGAAATGCAGAGAGTGAGTTGCCAGCCAGATATAGAGGAAGCAAGATGAGAATATCTTACTAAGAAAAGATACCAAGTCACGTGGCTAAACATAGATAAGAATTATGAGTTAATTTAAGTTGTAAGAGTTTGTTAGTAATAAACCTGAGCAATAAACCAAACAGTTTATAGTTAATTAATATAAGCCTCTGTGTGTTTATTTGAGACTGAATGGCTGGAGGACCAGGCAGAATAGAAACTTCCATCTACACCTGTGAGTTTAACCAAACATTGAAATCCCAGTTTTAAAATCAACACCTTAAAATCAAAGTGTGTCTAATGCCCTCCCCCCCCCCCCACAACATCAATTTCAACCTTCTAAGGATAATCCTTCCAAATAATTAGTAGGTAAGAACAGAAGACCAACCTATTATATTTCTAGAATTAGTAAATCTCTGCATAAAGTGTGAGCTAGTGAAGAGCAATTCAAACATTCTCTCAGCACTGATGTGAAAAACACGGTTGATATAAAGTCTTCCTTGAAGATCTTTCTCAGGAATATTTTCTAGAAAAACAAAACACAAACCAGAGGGAAAGAAATTAAGAAAAGATAATTTCATATTTTGGGGAAGGAGTGTATTTTATTTTGGTCTTGATACAAAACAGTTTTTTAAAATATGATTATCCTATTTCAGAATACTAAATACTATGAATTGGAAATATATATATTAAGCATAAGCAAATACACTTGACTAATAAGACCACCATCTTCAATTGTTAAAACCCCACATGCACAGAAATACTTAATTAGAATACTATCAAACTCCTTCTATAAGACAATACATAAATGAATGTTTCATATGTGATAAAAGAGATAGTATCTACCATAGCCATTTCAAGTTATACCACTGAATACATTCAATAAATATTAAGTCATTGGTGGTTCTATTTGCTGCTTGCACTAACACTGAACAAAAGGATCTCACTTGGTTTACTGCTAGCTGCCCCAGACAGGGATTATATATTCCTAGTATGTTCTCAATACCCTATGATAAAGTGTGAATGATAATTCCTCTGGAAAAGCATTCTCCAAAGCCAAATAATGTCCACTTCCCATTGGGAACTTGATGGTTATCTGCTGAAAATTACCGCAGCAAATAAAGTGATGCCAGTTCACCTCTTCTGATGTACCCATAGTGTTCACATAGTCATCTCTGTATCAGAATCTGTGCTAACCACCTTCCAGCATGGATGCTTCTCAGCCATATACAATCCTCTGGACAAAGTGACATCATCATTCCCCTCTACAGAGGAGAAAGTGTGATGGAGAGACAATTGCCAAGATGCCAAGGTCAGGAGTGACTGCTCCCAGAATTTGAATCCACTCCAGCACACAAAAAAGCACCCTATGATATACATTGCTAAAAAGAGTCTAACTGAAAAGGCTATAAAAAAAAATAAAAAAATAAGAGAAAAATAGAAAGGAAAAAGGCAGAAATAGAAGCTGGTATGTAATGGAAATAGTGTAAACAACATAACACAAATTTTCAATGATTTGAGGACAGTGACTAGTTATTATCTCAAGCCTTATCCTTCACCAATACACAATAAAAAACCATGGCAAGAGCTTCAAACATCAGAAACCAAGCTTCAAGGGTTACGTGTAAGAAGCATCTGTCAATATTTAACCTACGGGAACCATGGTGGTTAAACAAAAGGCATTGTCTACAAACCAGCAAAGCATCTTACCCTGCCCCCACCATTGCTCACTCCCTCACTATTGATTTGTGTGTAGAGAATTTTCATGTAGATACCAATTTACCCTCTTCTTGTAAAAACACTATTTATAGGCAGAGAGATTCACTGATATCTCAAAGAACTCCTTGGGTGTAGAAATCATCACTGAAATTAGGCAATTTGCTCAAGTTCTGTAAGATAGCCTTCCTGCTAGGCTCAGGAAAAGGCTTTCACTAACACAGAAGTATTATTTATGTTCATGATAAAAATAACACAAATACAATGGAAGCAAACAGCTATAGGTGATTCAATAGAATTTCTTCAGGAAATTCTTTCCATACAAGGATCCAACCCAAAATGCTACATTGCACTTAGTTATAATATCTCCTTAGTTATCTCTAATCTTGGGTTCTAATCATGCCTTCTCATAATTTATGCTTCTCAGTTATGCCCTTGAGCTGTGGAAGAGCACTAGTCGGTTGTTTTACATAATAATCTTCAATCTGGGCTTGCCTGGTGTTTTTCATGAATATACTAGAATAGTGGGATGGGGGGAGAATGCTGTGAGGTTATAATGTTCTTGGCTGTTGAGAATAATGCGGTGATAAAGATGTGCAGGCAAGGGATTCTATAAGTAGCTCTGGCTTTTATCTGAGGGGGCATATACCTTGGTAAAGACTAATTATATATATATATGCATAAGATTTCTGTATCTAGGGAGGGAGGGCTTGGGGGGAGGGAGGGAGGGAGGGAGAGGGAACTGGGATCGACATGTAAAATAATAATAATAAAAAAAAAAAAAAAAAAAAAAAAAAAAACGCTTTGACTCCAAAATTTAAGTTGAAGAACAAGTTACTGGGGAAAAGTATTTCTATTTTTGTTTCCACAGAAAATGAAAAGATGTGGATTCCTTCCAGACTAATGTGGTTTGATCACACCAGACCGCCTGAAACAGAGTACAAGCTGATCCTACATTCCAAACAGCTGGACAAAACAGCCCTACAGACTACAGCTAGGATATCTGAATCTTCTTCGAATCCCCCAAGACAGCGCCCCTTACCAGCAGGAAGTAGTTTGGAAAGAACGACGCCCAAATTCCCACATATTGTGTATAAATGTTTGTTTTCATTTAATTGGACTTTGTTATATAAAATTAAATAAAAAATACTCTATATGCAAAAAAAAAAAAAAAAAAAAAGATTTCTGTATCTCCTATATCCCCATTAATATCTGTTGTAGTTTTGTTTGCTTGTTTTCTTGATAGCTATTATAACCTTGGGTGAGACAGAATCTCAATGTTAATTATTTGGGGTTGGTTGGGTTTGGGGTGGGGTGGGGCTTGTCTGGCTTTTTGTTTATTGTTTCTTTGAGGCAGAGTTTCATATAGCACATGCTGGCCTCGAACTTACTATGTGGCCAAGGATGACCTCCAACTTCTGCCTCTGACTCCCTGTTACTAGGACTGCAGGCCTGTGTCAGGGCATCCTATTTAATAGAAGGCTGGGAACCAAATCCCAGGCTTGGGGAATGTGCTAGGCAAGCACTCTAGCAGAAGAGCTCTGCTCGCTAACCCATCAACATAGTCTTCCCTAAGAGCTAAGAAGATTTTCATGTGTATTTATTGGCCATTTGTACTTTTTTATTTGAAAAGTGGTTTTTCAGCCCATTTGTCCATTCATTAATTGAATCACTTGTTCTTTGGCTATTTAATTTTTAAATATTTTCTGGATATTAATCGCTGTTGGGTATGAAAAAGACTTCCTCCTATTCTGTAGGATGTCTTATCACTCTATTGGTTTTCTTTTGCTGCAAAAAATTTTTTGAAGTTGAATGCAATATAAGCCAAGCACATCTGATATTTTCTCTACACCTAGAAGCATTTCTCTTAAGGGGTCCTATTTTATAACTTTTCAAGAGTGAACTTCTTAGTCATATAGAAAATGAAAAGATTCACTTATATACATTCTTCTATACAGTACTTTCATGTTTCTCGGTGATAGGTTCTGAATTATGACTGATAAAAGTGCAATTTACTATATTAGTATCAGAAATTAATAATATATTCTGCATGGAAACTTGCTCAAGGAAATAAATAAGAAATATATTGCTCCTGCATTGGGTTACTCATTTATAAGATTCTTGACATTTAATATTCTTCAAAGAGAAATACCAATAATACTATTGTAGCATAGTAAGTTGACAGGTGTTCTTTTTAAATGAAGAAAGGACACTGCTCAACTTAGGAGCAGGGACTTTTTGTCAATATGGGAAACAAAATTTTGCTTCAAAAATACCAGCTAAGGGACTGGAGAGATGGCTGCTCATCCAGAGGACCCAAATTTGGATCCCAGCACCCACTTTGATCAGCTCACAACCACCTGGAACTCTAGCTCCAGGAGATCCAATGACTTGCTACCTTTGTGGATGCTAGCAGTTACATGCACACACATGCATACATACACTATTTGAAAACATTTTCTTAAAGTATCAGTTAGAAGGTAGCCTGTAAAAATCATTTGGAATGAGGCAGATGACTTTGGGGGAATACAGTAACATGAAACTCACAACATACACAGTGTTGTTTTGAGAATGCAGAACAGTGTCCCACACAGATAAGAATTGAGTGGGGAGGGCACATGGAGTCTCTCCACAAGACAGTAGCACAATATTCTGCATTAATTGGTTTTGTTAGGGACTTGTGAATCTCTATGTCAAAATAACCCAGTGTTCTTTCCCCAGAATTGCAGCATAAATGTGATATGAAAGACAGGGCAAGATTTTCTCATCTGTCTATTGTGGTGGTGCAAACATAATCCCAGCACTCAGGGGTTAAGCCTGGAAGCCCAAGGCCAGCCTGAGCAATATGACCAGTTTCAGGACAGCTAGGACTATACAGTAAGACCCTGTGCGTCAACAAATGACAGAAAACCTAACCAATGTTTGGTTTAAAAAGAGCTCCACCCAGCCATCTCCTCTAACTTCCCACATCATGCCCCAATCTCCTGGCTTGGTCTACTTCACTTAATCTTTCCCATTTTCTCCCTAGTTCATTTCCTGGCAATGGCTTCATCATTTTACAACCTCAAGAAAAGAGAAAAACATAAAGTCATCTTCATACTCCTTTGAAAGTTCTGATGAGCCTGAGATTTGAAACTCATTTAGGGAAAACAGTGAGATCACCCAAATTCTTATCTAATGGTAATCTATTAAGAAAAACTCACTCTTAAACCTTAAGGACACTTTAGGGAAAACACCATGTGAGTGCTCACTGCCAAAGCAAGCAGTTTTTAAAGAGGCACCAATGAGGAGCACAGAGTGACCGGGGCCCATGTACAGTAACTACATACTCTCATCTTTCTCTTATTCCTAGATGAGTGTGCAGCTTTGGAGTTTTAATGTTGCAGTTCTAGGAACTCAGTAATGAAATGACTTTCTAAGGACAATTCTTAAGAGTAGGTTTAATGAAAGAGAAAATGGTTCCTTGTTTTGGTGTCACTTGCCTATTTGGCCACTGGGTGCCAGAATAGATCTTCCTATAGTCCCAAGTTCAGTCAGCCAGTGCATGCTTACTTCACACCCTTGCATCCTAAAGTGTAGTAGCACGAGACCTAGTAAGTCCTTACTACTCATCATTTCCAGTCATGACTACTGTACTGACTCTGATGCCAGTGATCTTCATATTTCCAGGAAAGACTTCTTATAAAACCTGCTGTGTAATTCGACACACAACAGGTCATAGAGAAAGTAGGGAGCTGGGTTTGCTGATAAGTTTCTTTGTTGTTGTTGTTGTTGTTGTTATACTCTCCACTATTCCCTGCTTCCTTCTTCCTCATGCCCTACCTCCTGGGCATGTACTGAGGGCAGAGCATAAAGGTAGCTAGCTCTCCACAGCCAGCAAGAGTAGCCACCAGAAAGCTGGGCCTGACCTGTGACCTTTGTGTCATAGCACTGTAAGGAATTATACTGTTCTCGCCTGAGCCACATGAATGGAAGTATCTGTTATGGCAGCCCATGCTGCCTAATATAAGGAGCAAGCATGGAAAGGGCATACCAGGCAGGCTCAGCACATGGCTGTTCTGTTTCATGAAGCCTAGGTACCCTCAGCAGCTGCTGCTGCTCCATGGCTGATCTCCCCTCCTCCTCTGGGGAGAGCGGCTGACCTGACTGATGAGTATGTCGTGTACATTTTCAGTTCAATCAGCAGCCTTGTTACCTCTGGCATACAAAAGCCCATTATTCTCTAACTTGGCCACCATCACTGTCAAGGGTACTGTTAAGGTAAGTGTTTGGTCCCTCTGACTCGCTCTTTGTTTCTTTTCCCAATTTTATTACAGTAGGGATGTCAGGAAGGATGTGATTTGTTGAGCCCACACAACAATATAAAGCATACAATAAAAATACCAGCCAGAGTACAACACATTTGATACCCAGAAGTCCTTCTTTTCAGTAAAGATTCTAGTTAGTCATCATTAGAGTCTAGCTAAATCTATTGGTCTTCTAAATTCAAATGACATTTTACTTTTTATATATCCTTTATTTATTGTGGGGAAGGTACACAGGCCATTGCATACATGTAGGGCCAAAGGAAGGCTTTCAGGAGTCCACTTTCTCCTTCCATTATGTGGATCCCAAGGACTGAATTCAAGTTATTGGGCTCAATGGCAAGTACCTCTACCCACAGAGAGACATCACTGGCTCTGTAAGTTATTTTTAAATACTATGTAGAATAGTATTAGCAGTTTTCTTTGTAAAAATATTTCAACTACAGAATGTTCTTTAAAAATGACTTGAACGGGGGCAATGGTTAAACACACCTTTAGTCCCAGCACTGGGGAAGTAGAGGCAGGTGGATCTCTGACTTCGAGGCTAAAAGTGAGTTCCAGGACAGTCATGGCTACTCAGAGAATCCCTGTCTCAAAAACAAACGAACGAACAAACAAACAAACAAAAAACAACAAAAAACAGGAAGAAGAGAGAGATAGAAGGAAGGGAGAAAGGAAAGAAGGAAGGAGGGAAGGAGGAAGGGAGGGGGAGGGAGGAGAGAGAGAGAGATTTAAAAAAAAAAATTTAAATTTAAAAAATTTGCCAGGCAGTGGTGGTACACGCCTTTAATCCCAGCATTTGGAAGGCAGAGAAGACAGGGAGATCTCTGTGATTTATTGGCCAGCCTGGTCCACAGAGATAGGTCCAGGACAACTAGGGCTATACAGAGGAACTCTGTCTCAAGAAGCAAAACAAAACAAAAATAAAAATTCAATGGATACTGATCCTAATAAAAAACAGTTCAGAAGTAATAGTGAGGATGTGACCATGTGTCCGCCTTTATTTTGAAATATTTTCCAAAAATAATCTAAACCTTAACAATCAAAAGCATGCGACTTCATCCATACAGAGTAGAATATAATCTTCTAAGTAATCTTTTTTAAAAGAGTTGCTTTCTAGACATTTTATTTCCTACTGGAAGCCACACAGTAATTTAAATTAATATCCAGAATGTGCACCTGCCATCACTCTGTGTGTGTGTGTGTGTGTGTGTGTGTGTGTGTACAAAATCAAGCTTGCAGAGCTTTTGTTAAGATGTTTGTTTGACAGCCCTACAGACTACAGCTAGGATATCTGAATCTTCTTCGAATCCCCCAAGACAGCGCCCCTTACCAGCAGGAAGTAGTTTGGAAAGAACGACGCCCAAATTCCCAAATATTGTGTATAAATGTTTGTTTTCATTTAATTGGACTTTGTTATATAAAATTAAGTAAAAAAAAAAAAAAAAGATGTTTGTTTGAGGCAGGGTGTCACTAAGAGCCTTTTCTAGCCTGGGATTCATTATGTAGATCAGTCTAGCCTCAAACACAGAGATCCTCCTGCCTCTGCTTCCTTAATGCTGGGATACAATTGTGCACCACCCCACCCAGCAGATGTCCTTTTTTACAAAGAAGGAAGAGAAAGCAGAGTTTGGGGAGTGCTGGACATGGTCCTGGTACCTTTAATCCCAGCAGCGGCAGAGGCAGGAGCATCTAAGTTCTGCAACACTAAAAGTCAGTTACAGGCCAGTTACCACACCACTAGCTCCAATAACAACAATAGTAACTTGGGAACTACTTTAGTTAAGTGAAAAGAACACAGGTCTCAAAGGTCATCCTCAGTCCAATCTTGGTGCAGTTAACTACCCACATGTGTTTAAACCAAACCCCTCGATTTCATTTCTTTCTCTAGCTAAAGCAGAGGTAGACTAAATATGCGAACAATGGGAACATCTTACCCCACTTAGTCTGCAGGAGCAGCATACAGACTTTCTAGTAACAGACTTGCTTTTCACTGTGTCCACTGCATGAAATTTGTGTGTGTGTGTGTGTGTGTGTGTGTGTACACACGTGTGTGCATGTAGGCACATGTGTCCATGAGTCTGTGGAGTCCAGAGGACAACTTTTGGTATGAATCCTCAGGAGGGACCTTTATTTTTTGAGACATGGTCTCATCTCTCATTGGGGCCTGGCCCCTGCTGATTAGGCTAGGCTGCCTGGCCAGTGAGACCAAGGATCTGCTTGGCTCCACCTTGTTGTTGGGAGTACAGACCTGCACCACCGTGGCCACCAAAGCTGGGTCCATCATGTGGGTGCTGGGAGTTGAACTCAATATCGCTTGCACTGAGATATCTCACTGTGCCCAGAGTTGCTATTCCTGAAAGCTTGGAATTCTAAGCCAATCTGATGGAGACTTCAAATTCCAGGCTTTGGGAGACACTCAGATGGGCCAGACTGACAAGCTGTTCTCCTATGTTCCATACACATTCATTCCTTTTCTGGTTCCCTGTAGTGTGAGGCTGCCACAATCAAACCTCACTCTGCACCCACCTGACACAAGGGTAAACATTAGAAGACATGCCTGGAATGTTGTTAAGATTTAAATTCTTTACCTTCATCAACAGAATCGGAAGTGCTGCTTTTGTCCAGAGAAAGGTACTCATTTTTATTCAAGTCCAGTGACTTGGACGGCACTCTACTTAACCTCTTTTCTGAAACTAGTGAAGGACTTTTTTTCAAATGTTTCTCACTCTGGGCATCTTCTTTTCCTAATCCCTAAAAGACAAACAATTCGGTTAAAAAGTAAAAAACTTATTTAAGCCTAGGTCTCACAGTAAGAACTGTGATAGTCAATATTAGAGTAAAGGCAAGAAAGGCTGCTTTTTGGAAAATATTTACAGCATTCTGTTAAGACTGCCTGCTTGCTACTCTTGACATGGTAGTAGATATTAAAGGTCTCCCTGAAGTGTTCTCACGCAGTGTGAACAACAAATTTGTGAAGAATACCGTGTAAAAGGGATTGAAAGAAAGTAGCATGTGAGCAGCTAAAGCAGAAGAGAAAGGAAGGGAAGGGAGGGGAGGGAAGGGAGGGAAAGGGAAGGGAGGGGAAGGGGAAGGAAGGGAATGGAAGAGACAGAAGGCAAAAATAAGGATCAGGCCTTTGGGGAAGGCAAGGGAGAGAGGCCAAACCCAGTTTGTGTCTGTATCTGGTGTTGACTTCTCACCCATCTCTCAAAATCAATAACTAAAATAGAAATGGAAAGAAAATAGAGAGATAGAAGTCACCTAGGAGTGTGGTGAGGAGAGGAGAGAAAGAGTTCATAGCAGACTGGTCCTAAGAGACTGGTCATTAAAATATTCCAAATTGTGACATGTATATTTTCTGGGCATGTTTAATGGAACATGTCACTTTGATAGTAAATTAAATGATAGACATTAAATATAAATGCTATTGTTATGTTATAACTGAAATAGAACTAACTATAATTAGTAAGATAAGTGAAGGATCTGTATTAACTATACAGAAAAATTTCATTTTGCACTATGTATACACAGATGAAAAACAGCACAAAACGTACACCCAGCCCTTCTCCTTTCTGCCCTAGAAGATGCTTGCCTAGCCCAGGACAGACACTCAGTTCCAGGAAGGACACAGGTTTCCATTGGCCAGTTGGGAAGCTGGGTGGTATCTGGAACTCAGGACACATCTTAGGAATGAGTCAGTCTACCCTACCCAGAGAATTGACTCTTCAAGCAGAGAAGACTACAGCTAAAATCAAACAGAGTTCCACAGGAGAAAGCAATGTGGTTACTTAGCAGACCCAGGGCCTCTCCAACAGCTGAGCAGAGCTCCACACATGTATTTCTCCTCCCATTAACTAAATTATTATTTCCTATTATAGTAATACAGACAAATGTGACAAATGTTGGCGTTTGTATTATTTTTATCTCCAAATATTTTCCTGTGTTTTACAAGGAATATTAATTTTATAATGAGTATGTTTCCATTTGGAAAACAGCTGTTTTTTGATTTTTTTGTTATTTTCAGCTTAATGAAAGTAAAACATCAAACAAAGTGAAAGACAGACAACATTTGCTGACCTCTGAGACCCGAGAACCATAATGCTGCTTGGGAAAAGACCCAGATTCCAAAGCTGAAAACCTCTGTCCTAAACGTCAGCAAGTAAGGGTTCAGTCTTTTACATCCTGTTCACTACGAAGAGAACAGGCAACTTCTTTTAGGGACAGAACTAGAGGTAAGAACCAACAGGCTAAGTATCCCAAGAGGACCACAGAAGACAAGAAGTGAGGACTAAGAGACAGTCCTGAGAACCCACTCCTCAAAGTTGGACTTTGATAAATGGATAACGAAATTACAAGAAGTCCCCCATCTTTTACCTCCCCTAACTGAGTGTTTCAATACAAAGATTAACTTCCAGAATGACATTCCTTGTGCAATACTAGATCCCTAAGTGTCTACTGCTGGATACGTTCTATATAAAAGTAGGCTGATGTAGAGTAGACATATGATGGAGGATGGTTGTCTAAAACAACTCAGAGGCTTTTCACATGAATGAATTCTGTCAGTGTTTTCTCATGTGAGATGCTAGGTGCTCCCTGAAGGGTCTAAAAAAAGAACCATTGTTAACTACATGCAGGCTCGCTTTCATTTACAACAGCTTATGATTTTAGGACACTCAATGAATGCTAGAAATTGTTCCCAGTCCTTCACAGCTACCAATTCTTATTCTTTTTTTTTTTTTTTTTTTTTTTTTTTTTGTTTTGTTTTGTTTCTTAACAGGGTTTCTTTGTGTAGCCTTGGCTTGGCTGTTATAGAACTAGCTCTACACTTAACGATACTTGCAAAAAAAAAAAAAAAAAAAAAAAAAAAAAAATGAAGCTCACCAGCTAACTGAAAAGGCAGTCACTAGCTGGACTGTCATCTTTAACGTGTTTTAACGTTTCTACTAAAAAGGAAAGAACGTGTTCTCTGTGACCCAGCTGTGCTCAAAGGCCCGTCTCTCCCAATTCCAAGCAGACTCTCTCACCACATGCATTCCTTCCTGTGAGGAAATTCTGCTGACTACAGAATTATATTTTAAGTAGTAGTGTCTTAACATGTTGTTCAGGGGCCCTGGCCTCAGCCATCTTTAAAAAATACCACATACTTTCCCCACATAACCTATGCTACTTAGAGACAGATATTCTCTTTCTAAAATAAAACAGAAGTGGACATCCCACGCTTTTCAACATTTTGAATACATTGCATTGTTTACTTGATCTCAAGTAGGTGTAGGGTTTAGGGAACAGCATATACTAACTCTTTTCGGTGAGTTTCCATCCAGGGACTCAGTTTCTGAAACTCGGCTAATTGACTCCTGTGTAAAGCTGATGGCCTTGGAGAACCTTTCATCTCTTTCCCCGGAGTCATCCACACTGCTTCTTCTTGGACTTCTGTAGGAAACAAAGCATTAGGGAAGCAGAAGGTCACCTCCAGGCACACAGTCCTCAGTGCTCCTCTCTGAGGTCTTTGCTAGTCTAATAAATCATCTCAACAAAGAATAGATTGTTAGGCTGTAACCAGCTCCAGTTACAACAAGCTGTCATCCTAGAGACACCAGCTGACTTCATTCTTGAAAAGAAAACACTCATATGCAAATTCATTCATTTCAGAAACTACTAAAAGTATAATAAAGGACAAGTGGCCTCAGCAATAGCCAATCGGATGCTTGTTTAAGGTTGAGGTATAAAACCACAGAGCTTAAAAGGTTTAGGGAGATGTCTAGGTCAGATGCCACTTGACACCCTACAGTCTTAGTCTTACACATCCTACTTCTGATGTAATATCAGTGGAGGTAACCAGGCCCTCTAGGAGGCAGAAGCTCCCCATATCTGAATACAATAGCCATCAGTCAGGCTAAGGCTGGACACAAAGACAGGAAAAATGGAGAGAAAGTGGGAAGGGAAATAGGCCCTTCACTCTTAGATCTAGTTTGCATTTCCTTCTAGCTAAGTGTCAAGAAACTTCAACACAAATGTGTAGAATCAAAACTGCTGGCAAGAGCCAGGTGTAGGGGTGCACACTTTTAATTCCAGCACTCAGAAGGTAGAGGGGGGCAGATATCTATGAGTTCAGGGCCCATCTGGTCCACAGAGCTGGCTGAATTCCAGGACAGCCAGCACTACACAAATCCTGTATCAAAAATCAAACAAACAAAAGACTGCCTGCAAAGAAAATTCTAGTTTTCCTAACGACATCTCTCAAACAAGGCCGTTCAAACAACCAACCATCTATGTTTAGTTAGGATGAGAATGTTTATGGCCTAAGCTTAATTGTGCCAACATTCCTCTCATCCCTAAGTCTAAGCAACGCACCACCCAAAGTCACGTTATAGTTTAACAAAAGAAAATTCTGTAAGTGAAATAAGTAAACCAGCTCGTGTATTCTCACCTAACCTCTAAAACTTAACTTTTACACTTTGTCCATCTTTAGGCTTTGTAATGAATTATATATACCCTTTAAACAATATAACTTTTTAAAATGATAGTATGAATACACATATCCACTGTAAAAATAAAAAAAATAAGCAAGGCTCTCTTGAGAAGCCCCACACCCATGTCTTAGATGTGTTCTTTTTTCCCTAAAAGGTAGGTCTCTCTTTTTGCCCCCCCCCCATGCTTATATCTAAGCATATACTTGCTCCTATCGTATTATCTACTTAACAAACTGGTTTGCTCTGTTTTGTCCTGAAATCTTCTCTATGAGGATCCAGCTTGACCTGAGTTGAGGTCCCTAAGGGTGCTGTGGGCTCCTCAGGCTACTAGTGGCTGAGTCCTCCCATTACTGCTGACAAGGCTATTTAACCCCAAGGATAAGCTGTAGAAATACAGCGTTCCAATGGTTGTAGAGCCAAGACTACAGCAACTGTTCTAAGACCTGATTTTGTTTTTCCAGGGTCAACTATTATATATAAGGAGCATAAGAATCTAACTTCCAGTAATCTATCATCAGATATCATTCCTGTGAAATAATTGTTGTGTACACAAAGATTTAAATAAAAGTATCAGCCTAATGTCACGTAAAATATCATCCCAAGGAATTAATTTAAAAAGCTAAAAGGTATGACATTCCTGTCCTAATTAGGGTTTCTGTTGCTGTGATGAAACATTATGACCAAAGCAACTTGGAAAGCGTTGATTTGGCTTACACTTCTACATCATAGTTTATCACTGAAGGAAGTCAAGACAGAAACTCAAAAAGTAGGGCAGGAACCTGATGCAGAGGCCATGGAGGGATGCTGCTTACTGGCTTACTACACATGGCTCTATATGGCTCAACCTGTTTTCTTCTAGAATCCAAGATTACCAGTCCAGGCATGGTACCAGCCACAAAGGGCTGGGCCCTCCTCCATCAATTACTATTAAGAAAAAACCCTACAGCACTATCTTACGGAGGCATTTTCTTCTTTCTTTCCTTCTTCTTCTTCTTTTTTTTTTTCAAGACAGGGTTTCTCTGTGTAGCTCTGTAGACCAGGCTGGCCTCGAATTCAGAGATCCACCTGCCTCTGCCTCCCAAGTGCGGGGATTAAAGGCGAGAGCCACCACCACCTGTTTTGGAGGCATTTTCTTAATTGAAGTTCGCTCCTATAGTGGTTTGAAAGAAAATGTTCCCCAAAGGGCGTGGCACTGTTAGGAGTAGCAGCCTTATTGGAGGGATCAGTGTGTTACAGTCAGTCCACTTCCCATTGCCTGCAAGATGTGGCACTCTCATCTGCTCCTGGACCACGTCTGCAGGCCCCCATGGCCCCCATCATGATGGTAATGAATTAAACCTCTAAACTGTAATCCAACCCCATGGCGGCCTATGCCTTTAATCCCAGCACTCGAGAGGCAAAGACAGACAGATCTCTGTAAGTTCGAGGCCAGCCTGGGCTACAGAGCTAGTTCCAGGACAACCAAAGGTACACAGAGAAACCCTGTTTTTGGGGGGAGAGGGAATGTTTTCTTTGTAAGAGTTGCTATGGTAGCCAGCTGGTGTTGGCCCAGCACGCAGGAGTCAGACCCAGCTGAATCTCTGTGAGTTGGAGGCCATCCTGGTCTACAAACTAAGTTGCAGGATAGCCAGGACTGTTTCACAAAGAAACCCTGTCTGCATTTTGAAGACTTCCCATGGAAGGCCTCACCCTCCCTGGGGAGCAGAAAGGGAATAAGATGGGGGTTAGTGGGGGGGAATAGGGGAGGACAGGAGGGTGCAGGGACTGGGATTGGTATATAAAACAAGCTTGTTTCAAATTTAAATTAAATTAAAGAAATAAGGAAGGAAGGAAGGAAGGAAGGAAGGAAGGAAGGAAGGAAGGAAGGAAGAAACCCTGTCTTAAAATACAAACAACAAAAAGGAGTTGCTGTGGTCATGGTGTCTCTTCACAGGAATAAACACCTTAGCTAAAACACCCCCTCTCAGATGACTTTAGCTTGTGTCAAGTTGACATAAAACTAACCAGCACAAGCCCTATTTAACTCTGCCCAAACAATGGTTAGTAGGCCTGCAGCCAGCTCACTCCTGGACAGGCAGAACAGTGGAGCTCAGTGGGGACAGAGAGAAAAAGAAATAGCTCACCATGTGAGAATGGCAATCTCAAGAGTTTAAGGAGGATGTGGATAAGAACAGAGAGATGAAAGGAACAGAGGGGAAGCAAGAATGAGCCTAGAGAAAAAGACTATGGAGAGCCGAGGAAACAAAGGCTTGAAACAGGTGTGCTGTTTTCAGACAAAGAGCAAACAAGAGAGAACAGAGCATGAGGAACCTGCTACATGTTCTCTTAGAAAACAGTCACCAGGAGATGAGAATGCAGCTTTACACTTGGTCAAAATGTTTATCCTTTCCTGATTCAGAGGCTAGAAAGCTCACAAGTTGTCGAGACTGTAAAGCCACTGAATCTAACTGCCTCGTGTTCATGGAGCACCAGAAGTGTCCAAAGATTTGCATGAAATATCTCAGTTACAAACCACAGCCCAGATCTTATTAACTACTATCCAGGGTTCTTTGCACTAGGAAGATGATTTTTATACAGTTTTGATGCCCGAGACTAGTTAACTTTATGATGTCAGTGCAATGGAAAAAATTGAACTTTATGGAAAAGTGATGAAATATGCATGTGCAATCATGTGGGGAAAAAAAGACCATAAAATATTGATGTAAGCTTAGACAATATAGATTGGAGCATCAGAGTAGAAGACTGCCCAGAGGAGGAAACACCTGTGTATGTATTAAGACTTTCAACATATTTACATGAGATTTGGAGGGCTGGAGAGATGGCTCAACCAATGAAGGCTAGACTCACAACCGGTCAAGATATGGTCTTTGAGTCTTGGCTTCTCTAACTTAGCAGAATGTTTGCTATAGAATTTTAATGTGTTACCTTTGTTTTTGTTGCTATGGCATCAATTAGCATTGAATAAGGCACATTTTTACTTGCGCAGTTTATAAAATGTTCACACTTCTTAACGAATGTACATCAACATGATCTTTCTCTACTAATTTCTTCCTCACACTGTCGCACCACATGATCCCCCCCCCCCCCGTGTGATCATTGCTGTCATCTCCCTTCACTAATGTGCTCAATGCTTCCTGAGTGCCAAGCACGTGCCACCATGCTCATCAGTCCTTCAGAAGTCATGAAACCACCCATCCTTTGCACTTGTAGTGTTTCCTATAGCTCAGAGTCCTCACCAGTTCCCACTCCAGATTCTTAACAAAAAAGATTTCCAAAATTAAGCAAATCTTAAGAGTCATAGCTTTGTCAATATGCCTTCAGGCTTACCAATTGCTTACCAATTTAGTAAATGACTCTCCTCCCTCCCAACTTAAACCCTGCTCTACCAACGAGGCAAACTGTACCAAATGATAAGTTAACAGAAACTCAAAGTTAGAAGAACCTAAAATAATTCCATTTGAATGGTTCATAATGCACCTTGACATTTTAAGTCACCTCACTGTACCTTGGCTGCACATTTTCTTCTATTGATAACGACAAGTTTTCCATTTCTTCAGCATTTAAACCCAGCTCCGTGCCATAGTTCTGCTGGAGCAGTTGCCAGAACTCCTGTCTGGTCAGGCTCTAAGATAACAGAAACATTGCATGGGTATTGGAAAATACAACAGATAACATATAGCAATTCAAAGCACAAAGGTCAAAGTCAATGTAAGCATGGCATGAGCATTCAAGGTGTGGCTGTGGTAAATTTTTGGCATACTTGTCCCCTTATTTTCTGTTTTCTATAAAAATGGGTTGATGAGGGCAGGGCATATAGCTTAATAGCAGAGAGCTGCTTAGCATTCACAAGGCTCTGAGTTTAATCCCCACTACAAGGAAAAAGTTAATTATGCCCATCTAATAGGAGTTAAAACAGGCTGGGCAGTGGTGGTGCACACCTTTGATCCCAGCACCCCGAGAGGCAGAGATAGGCAGATCTCTATGAGTTCGAAGCCAGCCTGGTCTACAGAGCTAGTTCCAGGACAGCTAGGGCTGTTACACACAGAAACCCTATCTCGAAAAACAAAACAGAAAGAGTTGATACAGGAAAGCTGGAGAAATGGCTCCAAGAATAAGAGCACTGGTTGCTCTTCTGGAGGACCTGGGTTTGACTCCCAGCATCCACATGGTGGCTCACACCCATCTATAACTCCAGTCCCAGGGAATCTTCTGGCCATCTCAGCCAAACAAGTGGTGCACAGGCCTACATGCTGGCAAAGTAAAGAGTTGATACAAGAGATGGACAAACAGATATAATGTTCCCCCTGAGAGGGGTTTTAACTGCACTGTCTAGACTAATCCTGGGCTCAAGCTATTCTCCAAACCAGTTGGGACTAAAAGGCACACACCACCTAAAAAGTGGCGGGTTTTCAAAGTATGCAATAAAGTAGCTATTATAAACATGAAGTAAAATGCTTAAAGTGCCCTTTTTATAAAAGTAAGCTATTTATCATTCCTGGCAATTACTGATCTAAAATCCACACAACCTATGATCACCATTCAATAGTCCTAATGTTAGCTCAGAATCAAAACTTTTAATTCAATATTGTATCTGAATATTTCAAGCATTTTTAGAACTTTGTATGCCAGTGGATTCTATATTTTTTTAAAATAGAAAATTCAAGAAAACCATCCTCAGAGTACTAATTTACTTTTAATAAGGTCCAGCTTGCATATAGATAGCATATCAGAGTTAAAATCACCAGATATAGTAGAGAAATGGCTATGTAGGTCCCAGTGCTGACTGCTCTATCAGAGAGTTCAGATCCTAGCTCCAAATTAGGTGGTTCACAAACACCTGGAAGTCCAGATCCAAAGGATCTGACACTCCCTTGTCGATTCCACGGACCTCTCTCTCTCTCTCTCTCTCTCTCTCTCTCTCACACACACACACACACACACACACACACACACACACTTAAAAAAATCTTAATCATTACAAGCTATGGTAGCACACACCTTTAATTACAGCACTCAGGAGGCAGAAACAGGTGGACCTCTGTGAGTTCGAGGCCACCCTTGTCTACAGAGTGAGATACAGGACAGCTGGGTCTACAAAGAGAAACCCTGTCTCAAGAAAAGGCAAAACAAAACAAAACAAAAACAACTTAATCACCAACTGTAGCAAGCGTAAACTGTATAGCAAAACAAAAACATCACATTCTAGTAACTAACAGACTGGATTCTAGAAGCATTACAGTTAATTATAAGATTAAGCAAGACAAGAGAGAGACAGCATGGTACTTGAAGCAACTGTCAGCAAGATCTTTCATCCATTCCACAGCTATTTACAGGGAATGAAATGCATGGCACCACACTAGATTCTAAGGGTATAAAACAATCTCTGCCTCAAGTACTTCTAATATATTTGAAGTGATATGGGGCACTATTAAATAGGACACATATGATCTGTGCTAGTGGGCTAGTAGATTCAATGGGATAGGGAAGAGAGAAAGAAAAAAATGTTGCTGAGGTCCAGGGTGGCCAGATGAAGCTCCACAGTGGAGAAAGGCTTCGGGAAAAGGAAGGAAAGATGGATGTGGGCAAGGTGAAATGAAGAGATGGGAAGATGGCAAGCAACACATAACAGAGAGGGGATACATGACTGTAGTAATGTTTGTTACAAAGAAAGTGTACCATTTGTTAGCCCAACTGAAGAAGTGTTTTAAAGTTAGGAAGCAGACTATAAAAATATTTAATGAGGTCAAATGTATGAATGAATGCCCTGATATTCCCTACAACAAATACCACTTCCTTCCGTCTCGAACCTCTGCCAGCAGCTACATACCCTTGATTTACTAGATGAGCTTCATTACATTTCATGGAACCAGGAGCTGAAAAGGAAAACTATGCTTTCCACCGCTGTTTGCCCAGACCAGATGACCAGACGACCACAAGAATGCTTTATGACAATTCAGATGTCATTATCCACATTTCAATATGTCAAAAAATATCCATCCAAATAAATACAATAAAGGAGTTGAGCTAATTTAAAAAAAAAAAAACAACAAGCCTCCTTGCTAAGAGCTGATCGTATTAACTCAAGAGTGGAAATCTCAGGTTGGCCAACTCTAACTGAAAATAACACATCAAGAAAATAGAAAATCTGTAATGTCCACTGTTTACTAGAGCTGTCTTCTTGGTGGATGAAGTCTTCTGAAGCAGAGCATCCAGGGAAGAAAAAATGCAAAGCCCACTGCTGACAGTTAAGGAACTACTGTCCTTGGTCCTAAAGGAACTTGACTTCTAGCCCAGAGATTCTGGGTGGACTCTTGTTTTCATAGCAATAGTTCATACTGTGAATTAGCTAAGTCTTCCAAAGGCATCATCTTTGAAACAGTTTTCATGTCATAAAAGGTGGTTAGATTTACCAAAAGAAGACTTTCTTTTTTTTTTTTTTTAGCACACTTGTGTTCAATTATTAACCGTCACAAAAAACTTTTTTTTAAATAATAAGCATTTCTAAATATAAAAACTAAATCAAACAACAAATCAGTGGTGACACTCGGCTTCCTAATGGTGAAAGGCAGGCAACTTGTGAGTAAAATACAAAAAATACAATGCTCTTCCTGTTAATTAGAAAGGTAATTTCAACATATATTTTAATCCATTAGTTAAATGTGAATACATAATTGGTTAAAGGAGAAGAAAACAAGACTCATTTAATTCATAGTGTTGTAGATTTGCTGGTTTTTAAAAAAACGACTATTTTTGCAAGGTTGTCCAGCTGTCACAAAAGCGTGGCTATTGATAGTCACACTGTTCAAACATACTCAGCCTGATATAGTCACAACTTTTTCAGTATTTAGCAGACAAACCTTGAGTGGGGGGGGAAAGAGACCCAAATATTACACGAAAGCTGACCACCTTACCAGCAAAGATGCGGATCCGGACTCAGCCAGCAGATATTTGAGCAAAATAAAGATGAACCAAGCAGTAATCCGATAGGACTCAAAGTCAGCGGATCAATTTCTGGCCCAGAAAGCTTTGTCTTCTAAGTATTCTACGAAATTTTTACCCACAGTAGAGCTTCCAAATTTGATCACTGCTAAGCAAAATCGCTACTTTGATTTTCTATTCTGATGTGAGTTACTTTGCCATATAAAAGCCAAATTCGAGTACAGTTGGAAGCCTGGGCTGTGGCTTCCGCAGTCAGAGAGCCAGCCCTCTTTCCCAGGGTCTGGTCGGAATGCTCCACTGAAGTCACACCTCACTCGACAGGTTCCTAAGCCACGCCTACTAGAGGAGGATAGGTAAACAGTGTTTTATTAAAGGGGCAGTTCCTGATTTCTTCTGTTCCACATATAGATTGGAAACCGGTTGCTAACGAAAAGATCTCTCGTGTGCTCTAATGGGAAATACCTACTGCAAAATTAGTTTAACCCCACTTGAAAACAAACAATGTTAAAACTTAAACATCCCCATGACAACACTTTTCAATTCAACTCAAGCAAGTCACTAGTATCTGTTCCTTTATCACTTACTGACTAGCATTCCCACCAGACTCTGCCTTCATAACCAGAGCAGATCCTATGCTCCAGAGTACATAGATGGAATTTCAGGGAGGAACAGGAAGGGCCGGCTGTTCGGGTAAAGCATTCAGCATGTCTTTCATCACTGAGAAGTTTAAGATGACATCTTGCTTACTCAATAATTCTTTCCCTTGAAAATATTTCTGGCTGAAGTTCACTCAGAATAACTTCCTGGCAGAGTCCCGGAACAAAGAATCTCATCTACCAATTCTAATTTCTACTGAGAAGATATGTTTTAAATGAACAATCACAACTTGCCCTAATTTCTACCAACTCACTCCATTTATTTAATCACCTGTACAGACAGGTCAAATGTCACTTGATTAACTACAAAGACCAGCTTTTCAGAATACTAAAGTCTTATGGCTTTGCCAGAATGACACTGAAGAATTTACCCACTCCCGTCAGTCGGCCTGGTGTGGTGGTACATACACACCTTTAATCCCGGCATTCGGGAAGCAGAGGCAGGTGGATCTCCCAGTCTACACAGGACATGGTGAGTTCCAGGACAGCCAGGGCTACATATTAGAAAGGCCTTACCTAAAAACAAAATAAAATAATAATTCCTATCCCTCTTGTGAAGGAGGGACACTGGAAACAAGCTTCCACTGAGAAACCTGGCTGCATTTGTACAAGGCTCTCATTGCTTGAAACTGTAGGGATGCACACTTCCTCTGCTGACCAAATAAATGTGAGAAAGTGTATCTGTAATTGGTATCTGTGTATCTCTTTCACTAACTACAAAACTCCTTAGAGAAAAAGAAACTTACTGGTAGGTTGAACATATCTAAATTTAATATGCTTAAAAGAGAAAAATAGAACACCCACCCCCCCCCCAAGAAAAAGATGGACCCTTAAAGAAGCCCAGGATGCAACAGGTAAGTAGAAGAGGAGTAGACATCAAAAAGGTTCAGGGAAATAATAGAGTTAAGAGAAAACTCCAGAAAGACTGACATCCTGGAGGCCAGGTGTTTCCTCACAGAGGAAGTAAGTAGAAAAAGGTGCCAAACACCACTGGAAGTCAAGTAAGATGAGCATGTGACAAATGCCAGC